CTTCCATTAACAAGAATTTATTCTCTGCAAGCAAACTCGATGAAAACAGGTTTGGAATATCTATAGAGGCTAGGAAGGTCGTGATCTCCAAGAGGAAGGTTTTTATTGGAAAGGGATACAACTTGTTGGGCATGTATCGCCTTAATTTGAGTGAAGATGGTTGTGAGGAGGGCGGAACGAGTGAATCAGTAGGAAGTAATGTGTTAGCCACGTCTGATAGTGATTCAAAATTTTCTGTTTCTATGGTTGATACTGATGTAATCCCGAATGTTTTTAATAAAGTTGCTTCTTTGGATTATTCTGTTTGTTCTATTTCTTTATGGCATAATCGTCTTGCGCATACAAATGTGAAAAATATTGAAAAGATGCATAACAAAGGTTTAATTAAAATTGATAACAAAGACTTTGGAAAATGTGAAACTTGTGTAAAATCAAAGTTTACAAAGAAACCTTTTCCTTCTGTTAAAAGGGATACATCAATTTTAGAATTAATTCATTATGATATTTATGAATTAAATGGAATACTTACCCGAGGAGGTAAAAGGTATTTCATAACTTTTTGTGATGACTTCAGTCGRTTTTTACAAGTTTATCTGTTACATTCAAAAGACGAAGCTTTTGACGCTTTTAAACTTTATAAAGCTGAAGTCGAAAATCAACTTGAAAAACGGATTAAAATACTTCGATCAGACAGAGGTGGTGAATACTTTAATAGAGAATTTGATGCATTCTGTGAAGAGAATGGCATCAAACATGAACGGACCTCACCATTTACTCCTCAACAAAATGGCTTAGCGGAACGAAAGAACCGAACCCTTGTTGAAATGGTCAATTGTATGTTGAACCAATTAGGATTGCCTAACAATCTCTGGGGAGAAGCCCTGTTGACGGCTTGTCATATTCACAATCGGATCACTAGTCGTGTGATTCCAACCAGTCCATATGAGCTCTGGAAAGGCAGAAAACCAAATCTGAACTATCTAAAGGTTTGGGGATGTGTTGCATACTATAGAACTCTTGATCCAAAAAGATCTAAATTGGGAGCCCGTGCTATTAAGAGCATATTCGTAGGATATGCAGTAAATAGCAAGGCTTATAGATTATTGGACAAAGAGTCAGGAGTTATAGTAGAATCTAGAGATGTGGAGTTCTTTGAAGATAGATTTTCAGAAGATGCTGAAAAATCAGAACCAATATTGGCCTCTAATCCCTCTTGCTCATCTCGTGCTAGTTCCAAAACCTCTATAGAGGCGAACGAACCACGAAGAAGCACAAGAATGAGAAAATAGAAAAATCTGGGAAATGACTTTTTCTCGTATTTGGTAGAGGGGACTCAAAATAAAGTGATAAGAGAGTTCAATTTCTCTATCAATACTGAAGAGGATCCCAAAACATTTAAAGAGGCCATRACTTCAAGGGATGCTCCAATGTGGAAAGAAGCCATAAATGATGAGATGGACTCCATTTTGGGTAATGGAACTTGGGTGCTGGCAAATTTGCCAACAGGGGTGAAACTCATTGGTTCCAAGTGGATATTCAAAAGAAAGATGCACCCTGATGGTACAATATCATCCTTCAAGGCTAGATTGGTGGCTAAAGGATATAGACAGAAAGAGGGTGTCGATTATTTCGACACATATGCTCCAATTGCTAGAATTAGTTCCATTCGAACTCTCATAGCAATTTCCGCCATAAAAGGACTGTATATTCACCAAATGGACGTGAAAACAGCTTTCTTGAATGGCTATTTAAACGAGGAGGTTTACATGGAGCAACCTGAAGGATTTGTAATACCCGGACAAGAGAATAAAGTGTGTAAACTTGTTAAATCTCTATACGGGTTAAAACAAGCTCCTAAACAGTGGCACAAAAGGTTTGATACGACTATCACATCTTTCGGGTTCCGACATAATGGGGCCGACCGGTGCATATACTCAAAATGCACGAGAGGGTACACTGTGGTAATATGTCTTTATGTTGATGATATGTTGATCATCAGAACCAATCTAGATGGTATTCTTGAGACAAAAGGATACTTATCCTCGAACTTTAAGATGAAAGATCTTGGAGAAGTAGATACCATCCTTGGGATAAAGATCAAAAGATCTGCATCTCAAATCTCTTTATGTCAGTCTCATTACATAGAGAAGATACTGACAAAGTTTCAACATTTGAATATAAAAGAGTTTAATACTCCGTTTGATTCAAGTGTGAAACTCAATAAAAATATTGGTAGAGCAGTGGCTCAACTAGAATATGCTAGTGCAATAGGATGCATGATGTATGCAATGCATTGCACTAGACCAGATATTGCTTTTGCTGTGAGTAGACTGAGTTAATATACAAGCAATCCGGGTTCAGATCACTGGAAAGCAATTGGTAGAGTATTGGGATACTTGAAAAGAACCCAAGAACTAGAGTTGACATACTCTACGCATCCAGGAATCTTGGAAGGATATTCTGACGCCAGTTGGATAGATCACTCAAGTGATTCTAAATCCACAAGTGGATGGATTTATACTCTTGCTGGAGGGGCGATTTCTTGGGCGAGCAAGAAACAAACGTGTATCGCTCATTCGACTATGGAAGCCGAATTTATTGCCCTAGCGGCAGCGGGCAAAGAGGCTGAATGGATTAGAGATCTGTTGACATATATCCATTTATGGCCTCGACCGACTCCCTCTATTCCTATGTATTGTGACAGTGAGGACACACTGTCCAAAGTATACAATGCTGTATATAATGGGAAGTCGTGACACATAAGTCTCCGACACAACTATGTGAGACAACTAATTGATGATGGTACCATAAGTATAGTGTTTGTCAAGTCTTGTGGAAACTTGGCAGATCCACTAACCAAGCCTCTGACGAGAGACTTGGTAGGATCAACCACAAGAGACATGGGTCTGAAACCACATAGAATCAGTCATTGATGGAAACCCAACTTGGATATGGTACTCCTATTTACCAAGTTTAAAGGGTAACAACAAGGCAATTGATTGATAGAAGGTACTATCAAACGATAGATCCATGTAAGGTGAAAGATAGTACGGCGTTGTCGAGAACAAGGATGAGTTAATCTCTTAACAAAGTTTAGAGGCATCTTAACAACGAAGATGTTATAGAACTTTGCCTATATGACTTAGAGGTGGTGCCGCCTCAAAAGAAGAGTAGTGGTTTCTCTTTGAGTAAGTCATGAAACAGGGTTTAGCGCATGACCATATTAGCGCTCAGTGAGAGAGCAAGGTGGATAGATGACGTGTGTAGGTAAGCCGAAGTGGTCGCAAGATTCAAGGTTTAAATCCTAAGGATACCATTGGATTGATCACTTCTTGCATACTTATATTAAACATGGTTTAATCTTAGTGAYACCACTKTAACGTTGTCTACCATAAATGTCAGGAAACTTTCCAACCTGGTGGGGGATTGTTGGAAATTTGTAGGTTGGAAGTTAACCTCCCATCCCACATTGGTAGAGAGTTTATTTCTAGAGAAGCTTATAAGGCTTTCTCTAGTAGTGGGCTTTGATCTTGTTAGTAGACTCATGGTGGGGGTCTTGAGTGGAAGGCCCAACACACTCGTTTTACTAGAGATTTCGTCAGGAGGATTATATTATTCCGATTTTATTTTTTTAATCTAAAATAAATTGGGTTTTTTAGATAATTATTAAATTTAATAATTTTGAGATAATTATTAATTTTTAATAATTTATTAATCCGAATTTTAATATTAATTTTTCTTTTTAATTTGAATTAATAATTTAATTCAAATTTAACTGGTTTTGACTTGGTTTAGGGTTATCCCCCCTTTTTTGGAGAGGTCCATGGGCTCTCTCATGGGCACGATCTAGGGTTTCACCCAGTATAAATACTAGGTGAAGCCGTATCATTAGAAAGATGTGAAACCACTTTTCCTCTGACGAAATTCTGCTCCCCACTCTTATTTCTCTCTACGGTTTGCTACATAAACCTTCTCTACATTCGTTGTGATTGCTGTTCACAAACGAATTTTCTACTGCATTCAATCCTGGGGCTTTGCGACTAGCAGACTCACAGCATTTAAAGAGTGGTCGTATAAAACCTTTAAGGACAGGTTTTTCCGTGCAGTTCTTCATCCGAATCTACAACAATTTTACCAGGTTGGTTTTACTATTTTGTATTGCATTTAAATTTCTCGTTCACTAAGTGAACACTCTGTTTCTACCTCTTTCTTTCGTTGAATCTATCGAGAAGGATAGATTCAATCTGTGTGAATTGACATCTATTGAGATTGTTGGTGGGTCTGATTACAAAAGGTTTAACCTATTTATTGATTTAAATAATTAAATTATATAAAGATAATTCTTTATTTGGTGTTCATCTTCTTATTCTTTAATAATTTTTCAACACCACGTCCCCATCCCCGATTTAGCGGGGAATCTCCGTCTCCTATCGGGGCGGGTGGATCGGGTTCCTCAACGGGTCGGAGTTCATTCCCATGCCTGTCGGCAAGTATGAATTGCATCAGAATCTATTTACCACCTGGATTGGAGTCGGTTACCATCAATATCATCACGATACTAGTGGGGTGTTTGGGATTCCTTTTAAAAGAACTTATGTTTTTTTTTAAAGTGTTTATCACCTTATATGGTGGTAAATTAGAGTTTTATAAAAAATGTTTGGATTAACTTATGACAGTATCACACCAGATAAGCTAATAAAATAGATAGAGATACCATTTTCTTTTCTCATTCAAACTCTAAAACTTCTTATTGCCGGTATGATACCGGAATAAGTTAACAAGTTAGAAGGACGTAACTCATTAAAAACTATTTATTATCAATTCCAAACCAGTATAAACATTTCATTTTTTTTCTCCATCCAAATACTAAAAACTTTTTATTACCGATACCGTTTTGAAGTAAATTAATAATCACTTTAAATAAACAATCCCAAACACCTTTGATCGCCCTGTTTGCCTCTGGTACAAAATATCCATTGAAATTAAGGCAACGATTTTATCCCCGTTCAGCTTTTATCTTCTCAGACTCTATTTACCAAGTTTCCATACTTTTGCTGTTCTTGGTACCTCTTGATCATCTTTTTGAACTAACCCGCTACTTTCTTCTTCTCTTTCTGTATTTCTTGATTCCTACTCGTATAACTTAAATCTGTATTTTCTCTTGGTTTTGTAACCCTTAATAGTGATTTGCAGGTGTAATAGTTCATACCCACATGGCGGAAACCCCAGCTTCAGGTTCTTCCCCTCTCTTTCTTTTCCCTAACCTTCTTTTTGTTTTTCTTTACCATGTTAATGAATATGAATATGAATATGATTACGTTATGATATGATGCTATTCTTTACATCGGGATCATTGGCAAGAAGTTGGTTCTTGAATTTGTGTGAAGACGATGTGCTCGTGAGGTTTGTTTTCTTTTATCTTATGGTGCTTAGGTCATGTGGGTAACCTTAAATTACCAATTCTTGAATTTCGTTAATCTTTTCTTGGTTAACCATCGGCAAGACAGTAGGTATTGGGCTAAGTTTACTTGTATCTTGATCATATTTTTTGTTGGGATGTTTCTATTTGAATGATCTGAATTCATTGTATTTGTGATCTCGATCTTAGTTCTATATTTCTATTAAAGAACGATTCCAATTGGTTTTAGGTGGTGTGAAAGACCTGGAGGCAAGCAGTTCACTAGTTGTATGTTTTGGCGAAATATTGATTGATTTTGTGCCTTTAGTTTCTGGAGTCTCACTTTCGGAAGCACCCGTCTTTGAGAAAGCTCCCGGTGGTGCTCCTGCTAACGTTGCTGTCAGTATCTCAAGATTGGGAGGTTCTTCGGCATTTATAGGCAAAGTAAGTTTCTTCAAATTTCCCAATAAGATTTCGACTTCTGTTACGAATCATGGCTAGTAATCTTGATTCACAAACACTATCCATTTTCAGGTGGGTGATGACCCGTTTGGTCACATGTTGGCTGACATTTTGAAGAACAACAAAGTGAACAACTCTGGCATGCGGTTCGACCACAAGGCAAAAACAGCATTGGCTTTCGTTAGTCTCAAATCTGATGGGGAGAGGGAGTTTCTATTCTTTCGTAATCCTAGTGCAGATATGCTTCTTCAAGAGTCAGAACTTGATGTTAAGCTTATTAAACAGGTTTTTAGATTGTTGTTTTCTTGATCTTTTTCACTTTCTTTTTGGTGGGATTCGTTAAAGTTTCGTTCTTTGGTGACTGATGAAGGCGAAGATATTCCATTTTGGTTCAATCAGTTTGATAAATGAGCCATGTAAATCAGCACATCTAGCTGCAATGGCGATAGCCAAGAAATGCGGTAGCATTCTTACTTATGATGTGAATTTGAGATTGCCATTATGGCCATCGGAAGATGCTGCTCGAAAGGGCATAATGGGCATATGGGACCAAGCAGATGTCATTAAGGTATAGATATTTACAGTCATAACTCATAACACCATCATGTAAATCATCATTTCATAATCAATCCATGTGCATTTACAGGTAAGTGAGGACGAAATTACGTTCTTGACCGGGAGTGACGATCCTTATGATGATAGTGTGGTGTTGAATCAACTTTTTCATCCCAATTTGAAACTATTACTTGTTAGTGAAGGAGCAAAAGGTTGCAGATATTACACTAAGGCAAGATTCTAGCTTTCACCCTTTTTTCTAGATTGGGAGAGGAGTTGATTACAAAAAGAGAAACCGTCCAAAATAGCCATTTTTGACCGCCTGATTCACTTTACAGCCGCTTTTCTTCATAATTAACCGAAATAGTCAAGATTTTGCAAGTACTTTAATAACTTGCAAAATCTTTTAGCACTTTAGCAACTTGCTAAAAGGTTATTTTATGAAATATTAAATTCATAAAAAGTAGATTTCGCAAGTTGCTAAAGTGTTTCTTGCAACATCTTGGCTATTTTAGTCAATTGGGTAGAAAAGCGGCAATAAAATGTATTGGGGAGTCCGAAATGGCTATTTTGGACTTTTTCCCTTACAAAAATTACGAACTTAGCAGTCATTTACCAAACACTTGTTGGGTGAGTGCTTACTGGATGGGCATAAGAAAGACTGAGAATCTTACCTTTTAAGAGGGAAGGTAAGGATTGAGAGTCTTGCGAGATAATTGAGAATGGTGACTCTTACCCGGTAACCGTTTACTGGGTGATTGACCACTTACCATTAATCCATTTTGATGGCCATGAATGTTACCTGATAAGGTAAGTGGAGGTGATGACTCATGCCGGTAAGCGCTTACCCAGTAAACATTTGGTAAACGACACCTTATTTTGACAAATCTTGTGTGTTTTGCAGCAATTTAAGGGTAGAGTTGGTGGTGTGAAAGTGAAGTCTATTGACACCACTGGTGCTGGAGATGCTTTTGTTGGTGGGATTTTGAGCATCTTGGCTTCAGATTTAAATCTGTATGAGGTAAGTGATGCCCTTTTCGACATCTAATATTTTGCATGATTTATTAGCGTGCGATTGTAATGATTGTGTCGGGTGGTACTAGGATGAGAAACGACTAAGAGAAGCTCTCGTTTTTGCTAATGCGTGTGGAGCCTTGGTTGTAACCAAGAAAGGTGCGATACCTGCTATGCCGACGAGAGAGGAAGTCCGCCAAATTCTGAAACAAGAAGGCCGAGGACTGACCGGTTGATGTTTCTTGATGTTCTCTCTTTTATGATCCGTGTCGATTCGAGTATAATCTAAGGCGACATGTTTGTCGATAAGTCTTTGTACAAATAGTTAAAATGTAACAACAATACTTGTAATTGTTTGTGGAAATAGCACAGTTTACCTGTGACGACTTTAAGTCTTTTATGGCCGTCCAATGGTTAGTCGATGCACATAAGATGACCTGGAAACCGAAACCATAAAAAGCACACGCGTATGACCCTAGCGGGTGCATAAGGCATGAGGCATAGGCTTGTTGAGGATTCTCTTTAGGAGTCATGTCTTGCAAGACCATTGAGATTTTTCTAGATGTTTACTTAGGACATGTGGGATTAGTGGAGGTGCATACAAGCGGGTCTGGACTGATAAAAATCTCCAGTATCATATCATATTTTCACGTCCTATTTATGTACATCAATCACATGAACACTCGGATGATGTAAGCTTAAATAAAATATAAAATAAATCTGAGATGTATTCATTTCATTGGTTGGATATAGAAAAAGTTACGATTTTGTGACAACATATTTTTTCCGACTCGACACCGGAGGTTTAAAAAAGAAATCGCAGCCGATGCATAAGGCATGTGGCATGTGCAGGCTGTTTAGAGTTTAGACTTGAAAATCACGTTAAAAAAAGGTTTTCACGGTTGTTATAGGCGCTACGACGGTAGCACCCAGATTTACCAATCTAACTTTCCCCCCAATTTCGTTAAAGCATCAGTTTATCTTCTTCGGAATCGAGATTCATTCATAATATTGATCATAGGAGTCGGAGAGATTGATAAAATTAACAATGTCAACCGATCCATCGTTGGTTTCGGAGATGGGTCCTGATGGTCTCGTTCGCGAATCGCCTGTCATCGCCCACACCGAGAGGGTACGTATTGTGTGTGTGTGTTGGTGTTTATGTTGTTGTTTTTTTATATTTCTGGTGAATATATTCAAACCTCCAAGTGATAATGCTAATTCCGTGTTGTTCCTCTCTTTTTTCAGATGATCGAAGAAGAGCAACTTCAATTGAGGAAGTATGTCTGATTCTACTTATGAATTTGTCTTTCGATCTGCTGAATTTATCATTTATATTTCGCATTATAATGTCAGACTTTTAATTAAGAGTCTTTATTATACCCTGTAGTATCGTATAGCTTGATTAAGTTTTTATGGAGCTTATTTGGGTTTTTTTTTTGGATGTTAAAGAGTATATGAGAGAAGTAGAATGATTATAAGAAGCTGTTTAGTCGAGTAACTTCACCTATAACAAGAACAACTTAAGACGAATGCTCAATGTTGACATCAATTCCCTGATCTCTGCTCAATGTCACATCAATGATAAACTTAGACTGGCAATCAGACCTCGTCTTGCTACAAAATCTCACTTGCGCACAAAAGAGAAAGTGTGTTTAGAACTGTGCTTCATATGAACTTTGCAACCATTGGTATAAGTACCTGAATTAAACCATCACCCAACTGTTAGTAATACGTATTTAATGTAAAGAAAATAAAATTTGAGAATATGCTTTATTAATTCTTGGTGTTGTTTGCTTCTAATTATACATTTTACAACAATGGGAGGAAGTATCGTTTTTTGGTTGCCATTGCCTCTCTGATAGGCAGTTTCTGGCGATTAGCCCCCATGGACCTGAGGAGTTCGTCTTTGTCAATACGGGCAACAAATGCTTCCATATGTGTAGGTTGTATGATATTCTGAGGCGAAGGGACATTTATTTCTAAAGCATCATCCTTTTGAGAGGATGAATCTTGAATATAGGTTTCCTCGGGTATGTGCAGGACAGAGACATTAAGAATTGTCTCTAGATGGCTGGTTTCTGGTTTAGGGTTCGGACTGAGCTTACATCCTTCAATATCCCTAGGTGCTTGATCTAGGAGATGTGGTTGCTCTGGATAGACTCAACTGTTCTCTCTCACTTGTGCCTTCTTGGGCATCTTTTATATAACATGGATTGAAGATTAGTACATATTCTGACTTAAGTGTACTAATGAGAGGAGAAAAGAACTGCAACTGCAAGTATAGGAGCAGGGACAGACCCATAAATTTTTTCAAGTGGTGGCACTATTTGACTAAGAAACAAATATAGGGATATTTTTCACAAAATCATCATTGTCTGTTAGTTCCTTGCTTTTCATATGCGATATCCTATGTTCAAGTCTTTTATTTGTTTTCATCTGAATTAAAAGCTAAAAACTAAGAAAATGACACTAACAAGATTCGAAGTCTGGTCTAGGGTGGAAGAAAAGCCTTGCAAACCAACTCTACCAAGGAAAACTTTGTGTCCTCATTGTAGTTTCAAAATATATACGATGACACACAAAAAATTGATATAGTGACACTTTTCACGACCCTATAATTTTTTACACTGCAACGAAAGAACGAAATGGTGGCACGTGCCACCACAAAAACCACTTGGGTTCTTCTCAGTATAAGAGGTCCTCCTGTTACAACATTATGAATGTCTAAAACTATATCCTGTTCATCCTCATTAATTATTGTAGCATTATGTCATGTTTACCAATAAATTTGAGATGTGCGTCGTGAAATTATAGATTGTAGTATGAATAACTGTGTTTCTTGGTGCTCATTAGGATCAATCATCATCACTTAGGATAATATGTATTACCTTTAGATGGGTGAAGAAATATTTTGCATACTAACGGTAATTGTGCCTATTGTTTTAAAACTTGTTTATTCTTTATTTGCCTTGGAACTTTCAGATATATCCAAGAGAATTATTCAAAAATTCGTGAAGTTGAGCGGGAGCTTACAAATCTCACAATGGAGATGAAACTCACAGCAGGCCCAAAGAAGGCTGGTTGGTGCATTATATACTTTTGATATTTTGATATTAATTATTTATGATGCCCCGCTTATGGTGTATGCCAAGTGACAAGTGTTACTTTTCTCTCATTTACACTTGCATCTTGTAGCACTTGAACATATGAGGAAGAAAATAGAATTGTCAACAGAGAAGGTTCGTGTTGCTAAATTAAAGGAAGAAGAAGCAAAGAAGGTTTGTGTCATTACTTCAGTGATATAAAGTCAACTTACTTTCTTGTCATGATACCAGTCTTTTAATACATTCATTGATCTTCATATATGTCTTTTCCTGTACTTCTTTTTGTAAGTTTCTTTGAACCGCTGCTTAACAATAGCATCTATGGGGTTGTTGGTTCTGAAGATTGGGAACATGAATTTTGGTCAGAAATAGCACACGTAAAATTCTTATTGCTGTTAAGTGTTTTTTTCATGTTCAGTTTACTTTCTTGTCAATTGTCATGATTCCAGCTTCTAATACATTTGTAGTCTTGATGTATTTACTTTTTTGACATGTCTCTGATCAAGTTTCTTAGCATCATGAAGTTATTGGTGTTGAAGATTGGGAAAATGAATTTTGGTTCGAAAGAGCAATAAATCTTGTAGCTCAAGTGGTATTCTTTTGTATGATGATTCAGATTTCAGAGCCTTTGTGTATTTGCATCACTTAGCGACTATCATGGTTTATTATACACCTAAGGCAAAAACCCTCTAGCATTGTAGGCTTAATATAAAAGTTTGTTCTGAATTATATGAGAACTTCATTACTGGTAAGAATTATTTCTGTTTGTTAGATGTATATTTATATCCGATTATCCTTAATTGAAGCATTGATTTTGATTTATTTCCTTATGTTCTCCTATGTTGTATACTATATATTGAGAGATTCCCTGTCATAATAAAGTATCAATTTCCAGCCTAACGTTTTCTGGTATCAGAGCCGTGGCCCTCCATGCTAATCCTAGCCCCAACACAGTTCCAGTGCTGTTAATCCAGAAACATCAACCTGTTCCCGTGTTCCTGTTCATGGGTTATTCACCGTTTCCTCTTCCTAATGCATCTGTTCTGATCACTCGTTCTTTTTAAATCTTAAAGTGGGGGAGAAATTCGTGATGTCAAAATTAAACCAAGAATAATATTTTTTTAGGACTATCAACTATTGTGACATTCCCAAGATCCCCGTAAAATTGAGCTTCTCTAATTGGTTACCGTGGAGTATGTCCATACAGACATATCTCTAGAGCTTGGACAAGGAAATGTATTTAATTGAGGATCCCCAGAAACTATTTCTTGAGTGGAAACTAGATGACAATGACATTCATATTGCCCTTTGATGCTATGAACCCCAAACTTTATCTATTGCTTAGAATCACTGCGTTACAGCAAGATGAACAATTACATGAAGATTTACTACATGCTATGTGTGTTCGTAGCTGGAAAACTGTACCTTGGAGTTACAAAGGGCAGCATGTCATCTCTTGTTTTAGTGCTTAGTCTGAGTACCAAGCCATGTCCACTTACATGTGAAATGACTTGGACCAAGCTTCTACTAGCTGAGCTATGTGTTCTCCCTGAAAGTTGATGTGACAATTACGCGGCTATCCACATAAAAAGTGGATTATCATCTCATTAGTCATTTCTGATCCAATTGTTGGAACTCGGAACTACATCTGGGCGACCTTCTCTTCAGGCTGTGCACATAAGCTCATGGATATTTGGATTAAGCCATTATGCAAACCTCAGATTGATTTCATATGCAATATTTGTGTTCACGCCTATGGAGTGTTAGATGTATATTTAGTAGACATCTATTTGATAGATGATTTAGATCCTTAATTTTACGCACTAATTAGGGGCAACTGATTTTGATTTGTTACCTTGGGTCGTCCTATGTTGTACACTATATATCAAGGGATTCTGTGTCATTAATGGTTTCACCTTTTACTATGACCACCTCTTTGGATATGTATGACGGATGGCTAAATTAAAACAGTGATCCCATGATTATCATCAACATGATATAATTTCCTGTCTCTAATAGCTAGTAGAAAGCAAAAGCATGTCCAACTTGTGTTGATATTCACAGACGGATGGAGTCATTGGCATTCACATTCCATAAAGTTCATTGACAGATAGGAGTACAAGAATTGTTTTTCTAAGCCACCGCCACTCTCATACTCCTTCACGTACATCTCCATGATACAGGGGAGTTTTAGTTTTACCATGAGGGTATTTCATTGGTTTATCTTTGCAAAGACACACAAAGGCAGCAAGATTACTAATGAATACACAAAATTCTGCAAAACTTTGTTTCATGTTTAGAAGTTGCTGTAATGCACTTGCTTGTGGAACAATATATCATTACGTATTCTGGTTTTACACCTGATGCAAGGAACTGGTTCTGGCCTTCTTTATCTGAACTTCTCTTTTGTTGTTCCTAGTATTACTCTGCAGCTGTCATATTGCTATGATTCCGAACTCTCCTCTCTTGTTCCTCTCCTTTGCATAGGTAATTATAGGCTGTGGTGAAATCATATTTCAATTTGTTGCAGGCTTTGGAAGCTGCATCGAAGGCTGTGAAGGATGAGGAAGCACTCAAGCAGAAACTATGCGAAGATTTGAATAATCTGGTATTGTGCATACTTTATCCTTCACTGCAACTCCTTTTTCTGTTTCAGTGTATTGTATACTCGCTTATCTTTTATAGGTCCAAGAGAGCAGTAACTCTCAGTTTGCTAGACTAGAGGAATTGAAAAGGCGGCTAGAGGCTTTGAATCCAAGAAGATCATCCGCATATATGGCAACCGTAAGTCTTCTTCCCACTTCCTATTTATGCGAATATATTTGGCCTAGTTTAATGACATAGAAGAGAAGTACCGTTGAGTAGTTTTGTTCTCATAAGTGGAGTGTTTCTAGTGGTTGGACTGTTTACAAGAATAATGATTCATTACTCATATGCTTAGTACATGGTCGAAAAATTATCACCAATTCCCCTATAATAAATCAGCGATTTCACTTTAGCTTATCACTGCTACATGTAATCAAGAGGCAATAAAATTTTCATGACCAAGGTAGCAGACTTCCTTGTCTTTCCATGTAGATGTTTCTTTACTGGAACCAAGCCATGGCCTAATGCATGGTATTTGTCTCGAGTTTCACCCTGTTGCTTAAAACCATCAGAAGACTTACTGTTCGAGTGCCTTCTTGATTGATACCAACGCAATATTGAAGGGGGGACAATGTCATTATTTTCTAGTTCTTTTAGCAGAGAGACATGGAGTACAGGATCAAAAAAGTTTATTGATTCTTGGGACCTATGATGGAATTTAATTGTTTGTGCTTGGTCTAATCATTTGGACCATTCCCAGCTAATGGATGCATGTTGTGAATAGATAGCCAATTAGGTGGGTGATCTACTCAAACAATCAAATTAGTAAATTGCAGGATTGCGTATGTATTACAATACTCAAAATCGGATGATTATAATGGAGTTTCCCCATATCAAAAGCAAACATTGGTTATTCGTACTATTTATTTAATACCCCCGGTATTCTCTCTCTCTCTCTCTCTCTCTCTCTATATATATATATATATATATATATATACTCAGACCCCCTCCACTATTTCTGATGTTATGTCGTATGTAGGTAAACCTGATGGCAGGTTCATCAGTAACCTGCCCCATAGCATTCACATTGTCCTCGAGCTGAAAATCTGGTAACTGTCTCTTTATAGATCCCAATCCTCCCACAAAGCTCCGAACTTGCCCAAGCCTTTCCATTTGATTATGACCTCTAGTCATCTGTGATCGCCTTCCTGCATGCGGTGAATGTTCAGGACATCCCCCGGTGGCCGGTACCACCCGTAACTCTTATATAGTCACTCAGTTGTTGAGGTATTGTTGGTGCAGAAGCACAGTCACCGATAGCTCGACGTAGCTGTCACACGTGGAACACTGGATGTATGTTTGTTGAAGGTGGCAAGTGGCAAGTCGAGTTTATAAGAAACCACACCAATTCGATCTTCCACCCGGTATGGATCTTAAAAGCCTTGCTGCCAGCTTCTGGCTATAGTGAGTAATTAACGATTTCTACTACGTAGGTCATAACTTCAAGAGAACAGTGTCACTAATTGCATATTGTTCATCCTTTTCGCCCAAGTCGACCTTTTATTTCATTTGACGTTGTGCACCCAATAAATGCATTTTGACTGTGTAGAATATTTCATCCTGCTCCTGTAATCCTCTGTCCATGGAGTCGATGACAGTTGCTCCTTTGTAATATTTCTCTGCCATACAAGACTTTGAACAGGGAACATATCAGGCTAGTATGGTAAGCAGCGTTATACTAATGCTCCGTCCAGCTGGGCCATTTACTCCATTGTTTCGGCCTGTTTGACACCATATCTCAGATGTTGCTCAAGACAACAATTAACAACTCTGATTGCCTGTCTGTCCACAGGTGATAAGTTGTGATGTACTTCAATTGTATATCGTGTTGCCAAAGTATCTTTTTCCAGAAAGAACTCAAGAATACCTCGTCTCTATCAGTGATGATCGAGACTGGAATTCCATGCAATCTGATGATTTCTTTAGCAAACACTGTGGAAATAGATTGGGCAGTAAATGGGTGTTTAATCCCAATAAAATGGGCGCCGTCCACCACTACCAGAACCGTATTCACTCTGTTCGGTTTGCAATCCCTCCCCGAAATCCGATGATAGCCTCCCAAACTTGGTTTGGTAAAGGAATAGGTTGCAGTATGCTTGTTGGAGTACCAGCTAAATTCTTATTGCGTTGTCATGTGTTGCATCCTTGCACCCATTGACTTAAATCTTTCCGCATCTCCACCCAAACTTTGAATGCCATCCTTTGCTATGTCCTATCTTCTTGTCCGCCTACAGATGAGGTGCGAAATTCTTCAAACAAGAGGGGAATTAAGGTTGATTTTCTAGAATGGACCGACTTCTCCTTGTATGCTACAGCCCTTGTTGATACTTAAACCCAGAATGCTCCTGCCTTTGTGTGTCTTTGCTTCTTGACGTCCTCATTTTTTCTTTACGACGAGTCATCTCGATTTCTTTCCTCACTATCTCCCAGTATCGCCAGTGTGGACTGCCCATTACAGCACACTTGTTGTCGGTTGCCTTTCAAGATAATGCAACCACTGCTCTATTTCTACAGCCCACCTTGTACACAATGTCAAACTTGTAGCCAAGCAACTTGTTGATCCACTGATAATCAGGCTCGATCATTCGTTCCATCAGAAATTTCAATGACTGTTTGTCAGTTCTTACACAAATTTGCGACCCGACAAGGGACCAATTCTTTCACAGCCAACACGATAGCCTTGAGCTCCTTGTAGACCAACTTTTTCCATGCTTGCTACGGGTCCTTCCTGTTGCATGAGTACAGCTTTGAGCCTGTACCCTGAGGCATCGGTTTCTACACCGAACTTTTAAAGTGAGGCACCTTCAAAATTGGGTGGTGACTGTCTAGTCTTTTGAAGGCTGTATTGGTCAACTCATTCCAAAAAAAAGTTGATTTTTTGTCAGATTAGTTAAAGGGGCTGCCATCTTACCATAACCAGGAAATGCATGTTCTGTAGTACCCCGGGAGGCCTAAAAATCTTCTCAATTCGCTGAGCGTTGGGGGCTGGGGACATTTTAACATAGTTTGTACTTTAGATGGGTCCATTTCTACCCCCGCCTCCGATTCAATGTGGCCTAAACAAGTCATAAGCCTCTTGGCAAACTCACACTTCTCGTGGTTAGCAAACAGTTAGTGCTGTAACAACCCAAAGGAAGGGCTTGAATACCTCATTCATTGATCCCTCGAAAGTCGTTTTACATCTTCTTCGTCATTCTGCTTAAAACTAAGATGAAGAAAACCAAAATAGACTTTCTAAGGAAGGATATGAATACGGAATACCTCATTCATTAAACCCTGGAAAGTTGCAAGGGCATTAGCTAGCCCAGAGGCATGTAAAGAAACTCGTAGTCAATTACCGGTGTAGAAAATTTGTCGGGCAGCATGCATTTTTAAGAGCTCGGTAATCCATGGATAATTGTCAACTCCCGTGTTTCTTTGTGAGAACCACTAATTATGTGTTATTTCACATTGTGAAACAACATATAGCCATTGGTTCTCATGGTTCTCAATATTTTTGTGCTTCTCATTTGATTATGCACCTATACACACACACACACACATTCCTACCCCGCTTCACTATTGCTGTTATTATGGTGTAGGAAAATCTGATGGCAGGTTTATCAGCGGGGTATCATAAACTAGGAGTGGAAGTGTGTAATTGAAGAAAATAACTAGGAGTGGAAGTGTGTAAATTGTTGAAAACCTCCATTGCATTATGTCTTTGTTCTTACATTTCGTCGAAGTACCTGGACACACATTACAAACCAACTCTATTGAAAAGTACAACCACTCCTTTTAACTAATCACTATTTTCAGTCCACTATTTCGATAACAAATGATTGGATTGAACTAACATGGATTCAAGAGGATCACAGAAAAACAATTCATTTCTAACCGATCATCTGGATTATCACTCAGACAGTTAGACCAAACAATGCTCTATGGATTATTCTTATGAGTTCATGAAATTCTTTAGATTGAACAAGAAATTCACTTCTCGTAAAACAAAATTTGACTTCTAAACAGGGCATATTCTCCCCATCTGTGTTTTTGACATTTCTCAGTGTGGCCGCTTTATGTATGCTATTAACTATGCTATTAAAATCGCGATATATCACCGATATATTGGATATCGGACTTGGGGAAAAAATCGCTGGTGAAATATCGTTCAAAATATTGGTCCCGATAATATTGCCAATATTTACCGATATTTTGATGGAAAAATCGGTCCGATATACTGATTTTCTATAAGACAAATATTTGGGCTTTTCTATGTTGGGCTTAGTTTTTTGGGCTCTTTATTTGGTCACATATATTAGGTCTCAACTCTCACGCTTCTTCAGTTCACAGTTCACAGTTCACGCTCACGGTCTCCTTCATCTTCACCTTATTTTGTTTTGTGAGACTTGTTTATCAGTTTATGTGATGTTTTAATTTTGAAACTATTCTAAACTCTAGTTAATGCATATGATTTGTTTATGGATGCATACATATAATATATATATATATATATATGTAATTCTAAGAAATATTATATTAACCGCTATTTTGGACCGATATAATCGATATTTGGAATATCGTTCCTGACCGATATTTTGTATTTTGACCGCAGTAACAACACAGGATATTAATTAGTTTGGTCTTGGTCTAGATCTCTCTGAAACCACCACTTTGTTATGAAGTTAGCTATTGTTTTCTTAGGTGAATTCGATTCATGTTCTACATAGACAGACGCACATGCACAAACCTATCTATATGCACTTGTCTAAGAGTGAGGTATATGTTGAAATCATAACATTCCACCCAATCATGCTTTCTTGTAGCCTGAAAGTCCGATGGGACCTGCATTGACCACCACAAATCCAGATGTGTCAGTTCTTAATAATGTGGAACCACCTACTGGATCATCAAAAAGTGTTCCAAATCACAGTACTGAGGACAGCCATAATCAAAAGACAGTGGGAGATGTAGAAGGGAGGGGGAAGAAGAAAAGTGCAATGCAAGGGAGAGGTAAAGGAATTGGAGCGGTACCCAAGAGCAGAGGATCTACAGCTGGTTGGACTGGTGCTGGGTTTGATGTGGATGGTAGACCCTGACGCTAACGTTCTCAACTCACTTCCATCTTGTTTTTATGCCAGGTATATAGCTTAGTCCAATTTTCAAGTAGTAATTTGCAATCAAATATGCCATATTGTTTCTTCCAGTAATTTATAAAGTTGTGATATGTAGTTTGGTATGCCAGCTAGATACATTTTTGGCATTGTGCTGCTATTGTTAGATTTGTCAAAGGTCATTTACTTCTCGAAAGAAAAAGATAGGATTCATCAAATGCCATTCTATCATTCACTGGTATGAGCTACCTGTGAATGTGTATTGGTCCCTCTTGAAGGTAGGAGCCCTAGAATGAGTTGGCTATTGTTCGACTTCCACTGCAGGAAGACATGTAGTTGGAAACCGACCACGAGGAAATGTCATAACCTTCTATTATCTGTGATGGATCAGATTCTGAAATTAAGATTAGATCCCACCGTCACTGATTTACCAACATGAGGGGTGTTTGGTACTGTTTTAGTACTCCCTTCTTGCCAAAGATGAGTGTATTTGAGTTTGGAGTGTTAAAAGGACTTAAATGTAACAATTTAATTATTAAAAAATGTACTAGAGTAGAAAAAACTAGATATGTTTGGGTTAATTTTTTGGTTAAAGTTTGAAGATTGAAGAAGGATTTTCTTGGAAGACATGAAGGATGTTTAGGAATTCAAATTATTTGTACCAAACTCCATGTCTTCTTCCTGACCCAAACCAATATAACTCTTGACACATGTTATTTTCTTTCATATACATTTATTTCGTTCATCTTTTTATGCTATTTCTTTAGGGGTTTCTGTTCATTACCCCCGTCACTCACATACAACCTAGTTCTTACCCCCCCCCCCTCCCTATCTCACTCACATACCTTCTATAGGAGAGGAGGTATGCATAGAATTCACCTTTCTTTAGTAAGATGTGTCCGGAGTTGGTTGGTGAATAGAAAGAGTAGATGGAGTTTGGGGATAATTATTGTATGTTTTAGGGCTGGGTGGTGAAACAAAAACAAGAGTTGACAGAAACATAAATGGCACTGAGACATGCAGCAGAGGTAGAGGTGGTATGGTATGTAATTTGAAATGAAGTGAGGTGTTGCTGAATGGGTGGTTGAAGATATAATGGTCTGTCTGTCAATACTTCAGACAAAATAATGTGTAAGAAAACAGTAGTGTTATCAAGTTTGAATAATTTATCAAGGAACAAGAGGAAGAGGGTTGGCTTGAAGAGCGGGTGTGCTTGAGTTTAATTGGTATAAATTTCTATACCTTCTTAATCTTGCTGTTTCTTGAGTTTTCTTGATTTTGAATAATTATTTATAGAGAAATTTTTGTTTTTGAACTAGGAAAAGTTGGGTGGATGTCACAAGTATTATATATACACACACAAGGGAGAAGCAGGTTTAGGGGAAAACCCCCAAAAAAATGAAAACCGGAGAACACCTCTGTAACCATTCATCTGAACGATATAAACATGTGCATACAAGTTAATGACGACGTTTCTTGGTTTGTATGCACATATGCATACCGGACAAATTGCTTGTATGCATATGTGCATAACGTCCAAATGAGTGGTTACCAGGATATTTCCCAGTTTTTCATTTTTTATGGTTTTCCTCTCAACCTAACCCTATATATATATATATGTATATATATATGTATATATATATGTATGTATATATATATGTATGTAGAGGAGTGATCATATGAAAACCGCCCTCATTTGTGTAAACCGTGCAAACCACCTTCATCTGTCGATTTCATTGTTTAATYTTATGAAATTTTTTCATGAAATTGTTTAATCTTGTGAAATTGTTTCATATAATATTTTTTTTGATGAAGTTGTTTCATATATGGTTGTGAAATTGTTTCATATAATACTTAATGAAACTGTTTCATGTATTTTTTATAACATTAATGAAACTGTTTCATATATTTCTCTAAAATTAAAATTATGAAGATGATAATATCTATGATTAACACCCTCCACAATAAAAATGATTAATCAACCTCTCATAATTACAAAAAAATGAACAAAATGAAAAATTATGATTGGTTGAATGCGGTTTGCACGGTTTGTACAAATTGAGTGGTTTGCATTTGATCGCTCCCTTATATATATATGTATACATATATATATATATATATATATGTGTGTGTGTGTGTGTGTGTGTGTGTGTGTGCGAGCTTTAATGGATGCGCCATTTTCTACGTCATTTGCTTAGTATTGCAGTATACTAGACTGGGTGTAAACAGTGCATATGTTCATCTGGTTGCTTGCATATAACATCAATATATACAGATACCGGATAGAAGAAAAAATGAAAAATATGATTGATAGAACAAGATATTGTATGTGTGTATATATATGTGTGTATATGCATATATAGGGGCTTAATCATTTGAGAACTCCAGATTTTATGAGATCCGTGAGAACTTCCACCTTAAGGCTTTGTTTAACATGATTTTTTTCCCATTTAAGTATAGTATTTAATATATTTGTTTCATATCATGGAACTTTTGTTGAGGCACAACAGTTGACTGGACATCTAGAGGTAAAACACTGTTTTGGAGCGGGCCGCAAGAAGGATAACAAATCTAGGAAAACTCTGAATTCTAGATATAACCTCAAAATAACAGGGTCAAGATCGGTCAGTGAAACGATGGGGGATAAGCTTCATCGTTGAGAGGGAAACAGTCCAGATCACCAGCTATTAGCTAAGTCCCCTAAATGACTGCTCAATGATAAAGGTGTGAACCAAGTACATGTGAAACAATTATATGTTAATCAAAATTTTAGATCCTAGTCTTTGATGAAGAAAATCATATAAAATATTACATGATGCACTAGTTCTTAAAGTTATAGGTTCTTAAAAAAAAGGTATATATATATATATATACACACACCTAGAGGTTAAATTTATAGTCTTGACTGATGGGCAGTGGGTTTGTCTCAAGTGTCGTAGTATTTGGTGGAGTGGAGTTTGTTTGTAATGGAGGTTGTATTATGATGGTTTGAAATCACATGGTTGCCAGATTATGAAGGAATTAGGGCCATTGCTTATTTTTATTTTTGAACAGGTGTAATAATAAGTAGGATTCATTATGAGGGCTTAAAATTAGGTGAAAGGATTTGGTCCACACAGAGAGTTCATTGGTGGCAGGAACTGGTAGTCAGATCCCGTACCCTTGGCTTCTATTCTTCTCCATCACTGTTTTCACGTTATTAATGTTTTGTTTTGATAGATACAGGTGTGTACTAAGTAACTAATATTAATATATATATATATATATATATATATATATATATAGGATAGGTTTATGGAAAAACTATAAGAAAATTGAAAAACTGAGGAAATTTCTAATAATAATTTTATATTTAAGTGTCTCATTTGAATCTCCCACTGGCATATACTGTCTTCTTAGTAACTTAATGATAATAGTGTTTAGCTGTTTACCAAATTCTCACATGGTAAGCGTTTATGGATGACAGTTACCTTACTGGTAAGCATGATAAGGATTATAAATCTTAATTAACAAAAAATATAGTAAGGATCAAGAATCTTACCTAGTAAGTGATGGAGAAAAACTCTTACCCGGTAAGCACTTACTTGGTAAAAAACGTTTACCACAATTCATTTTAATGGATAAGAATGTTATCCGACAAGATGATTTTTGCTTGTAAACACTTAAATAAGTGTTTAGTAATAAGGGTAATTACTAGTTGTATTTATTTGTCAAAACATTTAAATTATATATTAAACCAAGATTTGCACTTTTTAGGCGTAGATGAACCCTGAAAAGTGTTGATAGTGCATGGTAATAAATAATAATTTATATTTACATAACCAACAAAATTCTCATGAGTGTTGAAGACAGGCGTGTCATAAAAACATTTTCACCGTTTTTAGACAAAATTACTTGAAAATCTCATACCAGAATTATGATGTGTGCTTGATAGTAGCGTGAGGTGTGGATATGGGTGATGATGATGCTTCTTTGAGACCCTTTTTTCATGCATCAAAAGAAATCTTGTAATCAATACTATTGTTTATGTTTATTATTAGAGCATCTTTAACAGTTTTTTTAAAATTAAAAAAATAAAGAAAATAGAGATTTTAAGCCAATATTTTACGAGAAAGTAGGAGAGAGAAGGATTTTTTTTATTCAAATATGGAGATCATTCTAAGGGGTTGTTTGTTTACCTCTTAATAACTTCATTAAGAGACAACCTCTGAATCGTTAAGAGGTGAATTTTGTTTGTAAAAAAAAATATATGTCTCTTAATGGTTCTAAAACTCTCTGAATGATTTTGTATCTTGGATCTCTCTTAACCATTAAGAGCCCTAATTTCATTGTACACAATTACCAAACAATTATATTTCATTTTGCACTATATCATGAGAGCCTTTAAATCATTCTGACCACTTAATCATTCAGCAATTGTCAAACAGCCCCTAAAAATGATATCAAGTGAGAGCATCATAAGAAACCTTAAAAATAAATATTTAGATAGAGAATTAATATTATAATAAATGTTGAATTCTCAAAAATAGAGAATTTGTTGGAGATGAATGTAATCTATTTTGTAGATTTTGACTTTTAATTCTTCGTTTAGTGAATCTGTTGAAGATGTTCTTGACAATTTTTTTACTTTTAAATATATTAAAATAATTTAATTTTTTTGAAATTGAAAATTCTCTCTCTCTCTCTCAGCCATAATTAAACGAGACTTCGTCATACAGTCACCCTCCCCCATATTTTTCTACATGTATAATAATGGCCCTCTCTAGCTACTTGTCAAATCCATATAATGACTATTCTCTCCCTCCAACCCTTTTTTTTCTTTTTTGTCTTTTCATAATATTTTAATTTAAAATTGTATTTTAAACAGTAATAATATGTTGATGTAGGTTGGTGTTGTTATGTATTAATAAAAATAAATAAATGTTAAAAAATCTCACTTATTTGTTGTAAAAGAGGTGTTGTTTTGTATATTATGATGTCGACATATTTGGCCTTCTGGATGGTTCCTACAGTATGTTATCTCCACGTGAATTTTGCCCCTTTTGAAGGATATGCCCTAAAACCCATTCTTACCAAATGTCATAACATGAATATCTTACTTTTCTTTTATAAATTAAAACACTCCTATTTTTTAAACGTTATTTTCTTTTTTTTTTCCCAAATTCAAGAACATGGCATGAATATGAATGTATAATGCCACTAATTAAAATCTTATTCTTGCAAATTTTCACGTTCTATATTTGTTCACTAATCATGTAAATATACATAGTTAGAGGAAGAAATGTGAATTTTGAATCAAATGAAATTGAAAAATCTGATGTGTCTTAATTTCATTGGTGGAACGGAAATGTGATTTTAAAATAACGGATTTTTATCCGAAACGTTTTATGGAGTAAAGATTAGGAAAGTAAAAAAAAACTCGTTCTTGAAACATTTTAAAGAGAGAAACGGAAGGAATAAAGTTTACATCTTAGGTACCAAAATAGAAGTTTTGAAAATACATTATCCAAAATGTGAATCAAGTTAAAGTACGTTACCTTTTCATGCAATTTGTCATTTTCTTTTCTAACCAAATTCGAGAACAGTATGTTAATACAAGTGTATGAAGCCACTAATAAAAATCTAATCTCAAATTTTCACGTTCTATGTTTGTTCACTAATCATATAAATACATATAATTAGAGAAAGAAATGTGAATTCAAATCAAAAATAGGAAAATATAAAAATCTGATGTGTCATAATTTCATTTGTGGAACAGAAATGAGACGAGTGCTTTTACAAAAACAGATTTTTATCCAAACCGAGGTCCCCAACGACGGTTTGTGATCGGTGAATGTACATGTGGACCATCTATCACATGTTAAGTTTTGTCTAAACGTGATGATTATTTTTGGTCATCTAATCTTTAAGTTTTGACAGAAAAATCAACATCATATAATATATTTTTTTGTTAATATATATAGTCTTTAAGCCTTTATCAAAGATTTTCATATGAAGTTATCTGACCAACTATTATACGACATCAATTTTAAATTATAAGGATGAAAATACTTGTGAAATATTTAATTAACAAAAATTAATTTTGTATATATAGTTAAACATATATAGTAGTATGATTATTAAAAAAAGGTCCCTAATTTTTTTTTTTTGAAATAAATAAATAACACATGGTTATTGAAAATAAGATTAAAAATGACTATATATTTATTAAAAAAAAAATTATTTAATATTAATTAAAATAACAAATCTTTAATTTGGGTAGTTATTCCTTTTACATAATATTATACTCCTCACTCCCAAAGCTACAATTTTAATTTATACATTTCCTAAGTTTTAAAAAGAGACAGTTAGTTAACTTCTCTAATCTACTCTTAGAAGTTGTTTACCAAACACGTATCTGGATAAGTGTTTACCAAGCCACATTACCTTGTCGGATGAATATGACAAGGACCAAGAATCTTACCCGGTAAGAGCGAGGCAAGGATCAATAATCTTACCCGGTAAGTGAGGACGTCGACTCTTACCATGGTCAACACTTACCGATAATTGTTGCATACAATACCAATTTGGTAGACTAAAATCTTACCTGATTACACTGACGGATCCGGTGTATGGTGGTAGGGGTCCTAGGCCCCCATCAAATTAACCCACCAAGTTTGTTTAAACAAAGGCTATCAAATTAAGGGTATAGTGTCATTTGGTTATCCAAAAAATGCAATAATTATGCATGTATAAAACTATGTATCATTTTTATAAATGGACATTTATTTTTTAGAAGGAGCATGCTCGTTATTTAACATATTAAATGTGTGATTTTAAACAATATTGTTTAAAACATTTTCTTAGTAAATATAAAACTATAGTTCAGCTAAATGTATTTCTAATTTATATTGGAAAACAAAACTAATATATATATATATATACCAAATGATCTTTTGTTTAGTGGTATTCTAGTCTCTGACCTTCCAAAAAGTCATGAGTTCAAATCTTACTAAATGTAAGGAGGATGTTTGATTGTATTTATTACATTTGTCGTATATAAATATTATATATTAAAAAAAACTAATATATATGTTATCTTATTTACATTGCAACCAACAAAGCGGCTTTAAATGTAAAAGAAATTAAATTGTCATGAATTATGAAAATTAATATACAAAAATTATTGTTATTCATAAAAATTAAAAAACGGCAAAGCGTACAGGAAGCTTCACGGAAATAAATGACAGATACCCCTCGGAATATGAGTCTTCCCTTCAAACTTATCCCCACCCACCGCATTTATGTCCGATATAATATATATATATATATATACTTAGAAGTTCAGAGTTTTTCGTGAGATCCGTAACATCAATTTATATTTATTGATCAATTTTATAAGTTAATAATTTAATGGTTTAAAATTATACGATGATAATTTTATGATATATATATATATATATATATATATATGTGAAGATGTAAAAAGCCAACACCATAATTTAGAATGGAAAAAACAGGTACCATAATGTAGTGGATTGATTAAACCTTAATTATGTTTACAAACACAGAGAAAACTTGAAGCTTAAACATCATCGATAACATATATTATCATCACTAGCTCTTTTTGACCATTTTCTTTTTCCCTTTTTTACTCACGTGCACCCCATCACGAGTGGCATCTCATCACGTGAATCCACCATGCACGTGACCTCCGTCAGACCTTGCCATCTCATCCACCAACGTCTCCACCATCTCACGTTCCATCTCCTTCACCAGCTCCTCCGCCTCTTCTTCAAACGCAATCGCTCCCACCGCCCTTGTGCTGCTTCTCAGATCACCTGCTATTAACCCATCTATGTCTTCCAGCACTTGGCAATCGGCTGCTGGAAAACTCTTTATTTTCCGGCGTATCATTTCAATCAGTTCCCATCCGTACATTCGATGTGAATACCCTCCAGCAGCCCATGGTTTGAAACTTATGTAAGGTTTCAAGATTTCCACAAGAACTTCGTCTACCACCTCGAATATCAGCTTCCGGTTGGGGAAGTTGCCGGTGGGTTGGAGGAGTTCTTCCAGGTGATGAAAGATTGAAGGGTGGAGAGGGTGGGAAGGGGAGTACCAATGTGCGACGGAGATGGCCGTGGTTTTTTCAATTCCGGAGTGGCTGAGGATTCTTGAAATGTACTCAAAGTAGTCGTCGTCGTCGTAAACCGAACCACCGCCGGTGATGGCGGTGGCGACACCGTTACAGTTTGAATAGTTGTCTTCTCTAGTACTGACGTTATCTTGGACGGAGAGCTTGTGCGTCTCGTTGGTATTGTATGACCGATTCTGACAACGAGGCAACTGTTGGATGCTCTTCTGCAAATATCAAAAGAAATGATTAAAAAAATGTTAATAGTAAATGATATTTTAAGGAAAAAAATCGATGACATCATGGATAGTGTTGGTACTAGGTAAGGCAAGTACTTGTTTTTGAGGTAATGCTGTTGTTGTTGTTGTTGAAGACGGAGACGACGACGCCATGTCTTTCTTGAAAGAAATAAACTTTGTTGTTGTGTTGACATTTAGAAGACGATTTGATAATGGAGTTGACTTCTTCTTGTTGTTGTTGTTGTTGCATTTCTTCACAAATGGTTCCTCTTGTTGGTGCTTTTTTTTCAATCTCAGATCATACTTTTCACTCGCAATTTTCTTGTACTTTTGAACTTTCACTGGGGTTTGATCCTGCTTCACCAGTTGTACTTTCTCAAGATCTTCCATCATCATCAACGGTTTGGTGTTTGATGATGACGATGATGGAGCTTTGGTAAGTTCCGTGGATGTTGTTAATGGCGGATTTGAAATGGGTTTCTTGAGGTTGTTCTTAATCTCCAACAGTCTGAGCCTCGCTGAGCAAGAAAGTACCGGTGGTTCATTTTCTTTTGAAGTGGCTGACGACGATGGCGATAATGATCGTCTTTTAGGTTTCAACACCACAAGACACTGATCCCTTCTTTCTTCCTTCTTTTTCATGGTGTTTGTGATATCTACACCAACTCTTTTACTGATATTTTCCCTCACCTGCTTTGCAATCTGCTTAGCATATTCACTGCTACTCTCATCATCCCGTCGATTCACAGGAATCATCTCCGATCTCCTCCTATTCTCTTTGTTAATTTGGAGAGAAAGCCGGTGGTGATAGTCGACGTCTGTAGACGGTCTGGCTGCCGTCGATATCCGCGGTGTCACCGGCAAGGAACGGGTACTTTGCTGTTTGCTTGAGGACAACTTTGAAAGAGGGTTTAATGGAGTTGCATAAGAGGAGGAAGACGAAGGTCTAGGAGATGACAGAGAAGGTCTAGGAGATGAGTTCTCTGGGAGAAGATCGAGACCCATTAATCTTGCGACAACATTAGGTGTTTTTGTACTCGGAGAACTGCTGCATTCTGAAGAAACATCATCCATCATCAGTCTTGATCTTTTTGTTTTGATTTGAATTCCACCCATCTGCAGGTTTTCTCAAAAGTTAATTATGGATCCAACGACCCCATCTATCACCATAAACGATAACAATAATTACCACCATCATGACTTACTTTACATTATCCTTCAGAAAATATATATATATATAATATTCAAACAACGCATGCTAATATTTAAATAAAGAAACTTACAGGGATGTTTAAGTTTGTTTCTTGTTTAGGTTTTGATGATGATGATGATGAAGATGAAGCAACTAATTCTTCGTCTAACTCCAAGCTGTTCCTGGGTGCTTCTACACCTGTTTAATTAGTTATACAATTATCTTAACTCTACATAAAATTCAAAACCCAGTGTGTGTGTGTGAGAGAGAGAGAGAGAGAGAGAGGTACCTGGGTGGATGATATTGGATTCTTGAGGGATATTAACAAAAGAGTCGGAGATGAAAGAAGGTTGATGAAAGGGAAAATGATGATGTTGAATATCAAACAGGTGAAAAATGGCACTCATGCAACCACCGGAGGAGGAAGAAGAAGAAGTGGGTACATGATCTGCTGTTTTTCTTGAGTATTTTCCGGCGGCCTTTGTCGTCTTGCTGGTGGAAGAGGATTTTCCAGTGCCATGACAACCACCACCGGCGCCGCCGTCACTGGTAAACTTGTACAACAGCCACTGTTTTCCCATAGTAGCAATTAAGGAAAAAAAGAAGTGGTGGTTGTTAGGATGATGGAGATGGATGAAGGTTATGGGGAGCGTAAAAGACGGATCCTCATGGAAAAGCAGACTGTAAATTACCAGTCACTGTATCATCCATCGCCACCCTCCTCCTGTATCTCTCTCTCTCTCTCCCTGTATATATATATATGTATATCTCTCTCACTCTCACTCTCACTCTCACTCTAACTCCATCTTTCACTAAAATATATAGTAATACCCTTTTCCTTTCTTACTTTTTTATTCTGAATCTTTACAGAGAGAAATAAAGAAACAGAGAGATGGACAGAGAGAGAGAGATGGACAGAGAGAGAGAGAGGGGGGGAGGATGCAAGTATGGTATTTAAATGATTCCATATATACACATATGTATGGCATATGGTATCATTTAGAAAAGGAAATTATAGATTCTGTCTTTAATGAGGTTTAAGTTTCAAACATATGCTCCAATTTTCTGCTTAACTCTTGAGGAGTATGATTCTTATGGACCGTTTAGTTTGGTTTGTGGGATTTGAATTTGTATTACATTTCAATCTCAAGTTTGGTTAAAAAAAAAAGTGTAGAATTCAAATTCCATGATTTCATAAACATAGGATTTAAAAATCTAATGGGAATAGTTTTGACATCTATGAAGTAACCATCGGGATCAAAAATTAAACGCGCTTGAGTAGGAAATCTGCAATAATGAAGCTTTGGTTTTACAAATTCATAATTATATTAAGGGTCTGTTTGTTAGCAGCCTAATGAAAATGACTTATTCAGTAAGCTTCAAAGAGAGATTTATATAAAAAGTCAAGTTTTTTTTTCTTTCCAAATCTACCTTTTCCATATTAAAAAACATGCTCCTTCCATCTCAGAAAAACCGTCTCAAATAAAAACTTTTTCAATCTTTAGAAACTAATTAATCCACATAATCAATTTTATTCATATGAGATTTAATGAAAAAGCAACGAAATGCAAGTATTTGCTTCAAAGCTTTTGCACCTCCATGTAAGATAAAAGATTATTGTAATATGTGCTTATGTTTTGGAGGCTAAACATCATTTTCTTGTTGTCAAAGATATGAGTGTTATATTTAAGAAAGGATACGTATTTTTTTAATCATTTAGGACATGTTTGTTAGTACCTTGAAGCATAATTGTCCGATAAATAAACGTTTGAGCATATTTTTTATATTGAAGACCTCCCTAAGCATAGGCACTCAAAATTTCCCATTTAGAATGCAAAATATATAGATATAAGTATTTGACAAAAACTTTTAAAAAATATTTATATATATATATATAATATTATTTATTGATGCATGTTACTTAAAATTCAAGATTACAAGTAGATTGTGTGTATGTACAACTTATTAAAACTCCATGTCTGAATTTGTGTAACTAACTGCAGATAAACATAATCAAACACATGATAAACATCTCATTTTTAATATATAAAACCTAAAATATAATTAAGATAATCAATGAGTTCTAACGAAATACTTAATATTATCTTTATAAAATGTTATATTATTAAACCAAAAATAAATTACTTCGTTATTAAACTTAAATTAAATTATAATTATAGAAATTACACAAAAAAAATGAGAACTTTTAAATAGTCAATTTGATACTAACATTGATATAAAAAAAATTATGATATCTTCAAATTTATATTTTATTCAAAAATAAAATCGTTATCGCTTACTTAAAAACACATAAAATTGTATTATAATATCGATAGCGATAAAGAATAAAATAAAATATTAAAATTGAGATGTATCTCGTTGCATTGCGCGAATACCCTTCTAATATATATATATATATATATATATATGGGTTGGTTTGTTTAAGATTCTAAAATATTTTAGAAACTCAGAAACCATCTATTTTGTAAGTATTCATG